AATTTAACATGTTTCACTTTTATTGAAGCTTCATCAGAAATTTATTTTTGGAAAGGAATTATTCTTGTAACCTAGAGAAGGTTATTGAATAGAATAATCAAACAAGGGTTGGAAATAAATGATAATACTTAGGACAAGAGCAACATATAAGATTCACCAGGGGCACATGTACAAGATGTAGTCAACTGCTAGAAGTGAGTCAAGTGAATTCCACAATGAATCTCCAATTGCAGACCAACATATGTGAATGAGGACACACCCATTATCATCCATAAGTATGCTACAACAATTATGGAGGAGAATGTTCTGGTACTTTGTATTCTGTGTTATTTGTTTTCATTACTCAATTGGATCTCAATTGTTTTTATCTTGTGACATTAGTGTATGTTTGTGTCTCTAACTGAATTCTATTTGACTTTCTTGTGTCTGTATGTTTAATTCGTGAAGATGATAGTCATAAGAAATGGAAAAGGTGTATATATATATGAAATTTCTAGTTGATCTTGCAAGAGTTAGTCATGTTAGTGTATGTGTCAACTGTTAGTTAGACATACACTATCAATGTTGGAGTAAATTTTATTGATGAGGAAAAATTGTGTGTATTAAGAAATTTTGTGATATATGGATGTGTGTTTTGGTTTAATTTTATTATTAATATTATTATTACATATGACTTTTGAGATTATTGGAACATATTTGGGGCTCTGGGTAAAAGGTACTTTTTGGTCATGTAGTGGCTATGACAGAATCTTTGAAGTGGATATATGAAAGTTACATCACCAACTGTGGCTTGAATCTTACATTCTTTAAGTATGGACTTTATGAATGTTGGTGATATGAAAAAGTGTGGCTGGTATGTTTAACAATGGAAGGATGTTTATTAATATTCCCTCTAGTTATTTTCTTTGTAATAGGATTATTAGAGTGTCATTTTTTAAATCAAAGTTATGGCCTGTTTTATTTCTCTATGTTACTAAGAGTTTAGTGGGTTATCTCAACAGAGGTCTCTCTTCTGTTCACAAATGCAGGCATTTAGGGTTCTGAAAGTTTTACCTACATAATTATGGCATTTCAGGCATTTAGTTTTATATACTCCAGCATCCAATGTGGTATTGGTTCTGTGTTTTTTTGATAAAATAATACCATAAAACATGATCTGTAGTACCATAGCCATGAAGTTTATGTAGAAGACCAGCATGCCAAACTCTGTCAAACCCCTTTGAGATATCTAGGGCTACAGCTTGGGCTTCACCGTTATTATCAAGAGCTTGATATACATATCCAGTGATGGCCATAAGCACATTGGCAGTAGACTAGGCAAAATGGTGGAATCCATATTGTTTATCAGAGAGTAGGGCGTGAGAAGTAAGATACTTAACCATACTTTTACAATACTTTGCCAAAAAGTGGTAGGAGACTAATAAGGTAATAGATGTGTCAGAAGGTTCTCCAGAGTTCTTAAAAACATGGACTACATAGGCTGACTTCTAACAAGCTGGAAAGCAAGAAGCAGCACGTCAATAGCTGTAGATTTTGGAGAGAACTGGAGCCAATGGGGTAGTGAAGGAGACTCATCTAGGTGTTCCAGGTTGCATATTTTAAGGGCTCTGAGGTAGAAACCTATGGTTAATCTTTATTTTTTTTGGTTGGAATAGAAATTTATTTAGATTTTTTTTTTTTTTTTTTTTTTAGTGGGTTTATGGCCAACTTTGAAATCTAATTTGTTTTTGTTTCAGATTAATAGGATGTCAAGGAAGGGTAGGGCATTGTTTATTTCATGCTCATGTGTGAATTTGATGTAACTCAAAGAGAAAATAATGACATAATTTAACATCCACACTACATCAAATAAAAGGTTAGGGAAGGACACCTTCCTATCAATACTTGAAAGAGCAATAACAGTTACTGGACTTGAGAAACCTGTTTTTCTTTTCTTTTTTTTTTCTTTTTTTTTTTTCTTTTTTTTTTTTCTTTTTTTTTTTTTTTTTTTTTTTTTTTTTTTTTTTTTTTCACTAAAAAATTGTTTTAAGAGAAATACTTTATAAATTTTAACTGAAAACAGTACTGGCTGCTTGCTCAGTGAATACCAAATGTTTCCTTAGAGGGAAATGGCTAATATTACCATTCTTATTTATTCCTTTAGCATGGTTAAGTTACTAGCTAAAGGGTTGTTCAGATGATTGAACTTTTTTTTTTTGTGGTTACCAGATTTTGGCTGACCCATCCTATTACCATCTTTAAGTGTACAATTTGTATTAAAAGATGTCAGTCAGGTTGAGTGGGGGGAGGGCTCTTTTTTTCAGTAATGCAAATCAGAAAGTAGAAAGAAAATGGTGGAGAAGACACTGATTGAACCAACCTATTCATAGATTATTTTATATTTAATGTTGCTTTATTTGTCAACAAATAAATTCACACTGGTCTGTCTTACATAAATTGGATTCATTAACCTTACAAACAAATACAAATCAAGCCAGTGTTCTTGCAGTGTGATCATTTTTTTTTTTTTTTTGTCATCTGAAAATGTTCATACTTCTCAGTAAATTCCATTTGTTATGTTGCATGTAAAAAAAAATGATTTACCATTAATTAAAAGCTTTCAAGTATAATAGGAAAAAAAAAAACTCTGTAATCGGATTTAATGAACACATTCCTAATTGTTTGGGTGACTTATTGTTGAATCTTTATTTGATGATAATGGAATAATTTTGTTTCAATCTATCTTCCTGATATCTTTTTTTATTTCAGTTTTTAACAAGTTTATCAGTGGTAAACCTTGCTTTGACAACATCCGAATTTGTGGAAATTTCATCGAGTTTAAAAAAAAATAAATTGAGGGTGCTGAAAAATATTTGGCCCAACCCACTTCCTAAAGTCTGACCAAATTACAAAACATGGTTTATTGGTTGAACTAAGTACTTTTCAGCACCCCCTTATCATGTATGGTGGTTGTTATAAAATTATTCTTTTCCAAATCTCTTGTAGAAGATTTGTTTGCATTGCTTCACTTAAGACATTCTTCATAGAATTGTTGTAAATTTTATTTCAAAGACAAACACTTTTTATGTAAATTTTACAGGAATATTTTCTACATTGTACAAGAAAAAAAAAAGATCTCAAAAGTATTTGGTCAAACTTTGATGAGATAAATATAATATCTATTTTATTTTTCTTAACACTGTATACAAATACCTATAAATTAATCTTGTGTGTTTATGTGTGAGATTCTGACAATTATTTCTAAATAAACATCACAATGTTTGGTCGCTGTGAGAGAAGATGGCTGAAGAATGATTATTTACTTCTTGTTGAACTAAACCTTGGATACTAAGTGCATAATATTTGAATAACTGAATATATTTACTTGGACATTTTGGATTAGGAAATGAAAAAAAATGTCTAAAAACATTGGTTTGTCATAACTTTTTTTTTTAATAAAGTTAATCTGAAGAGAAATTTATTCCATCCGGATTAGTTTCAATTTGCTTGGATAGCAAGATTAGGGTAAAAAAAAAAAAGTAAAGTAACCATTCTTCAAGTTAAAATAGCAACATTACAAAAACTTTCCTGTTAATTTCCATTGGTTTTTTTATCTAATTTTAAAAATGAAACAAAAAAATAATTTTGCTTAATTTCTCTCTTTCTATTTTTATTTCTTGCATGAATTTAGATTTTATTTCTTCAACATTGGATTTTGTGTCTCTTTAATTGCATGGAATTGTGTAGAAATAGAATTGTCTTATCTGCAATGGATTTGTCTTGTGTTCTAAATCAGAAAACACTTGTTCTTTGTAAATGTAGCTTTTCAGTTAAAGGCTTAACATCAGGAAATCTTTTTTAAAGTTTTAGTCTAACCTTGTATCTTGCTTTTAACTTTAATATTTCTATACAATGGAGACTTTGTCATCTCCAGCCTCAGCTTTGTTTTGTTGAAAATGAATGATGTATTTGTAATTAATACAAAAATCATTAAGCATTTTAAATACTAGTACTTAAAATACTAATTATGTATATACAGTACTTTAAATACTAATTATATATATATATATATATATATATATATATATATATATATATATATAATACCCATTTGTAGGAGAGACTTTGTAAATCACAGATACAATAATAGTAACACCTTAGAACAATACTCAGTCAGATGCCGCTAATTCCCATATATGTATATTTTTCTTTTTACCCATCACATGATCTAATTATTTTAAGATGAGGTCAACTGTGTTTGCTCTGACAATCTGTGTTCAAACCAAAGTGTTATCAGTAACACTTTATTATTTCTATATGAGATATATATATATATATATATATATATATATATATATATATATAGTACTTTAAATACTGATAATTATATATATATATATATCCTAAATTTCTTCACTGGAAAAATTATTTCAATAGTTGAATACTAATTAGCTTACTCCATCTATAAAATTCTCTCAAATTGTTATGTTGCACCATCTTTTAGCAGAACATTTACTATTTATGCTGTAAACTGTCCTGACTGCAGTTGGCGTACAGCAGGGACAAAATGCCTTCCAATCTGTGATAATATTATTCTTCTCTGTGGACGAATTACTAAATTATCCCATTCTTTGCATTACTGGAAATCTTTCTCTTCATTTTTTGGTGTTAGTTCTTGTGAAACAATAATTATTTTTCTTTCTTAACATAAATTGTATCTTTTTACGGATCTTTCTCTCTTTTCATATCGATGTCAAGGTTTAGAGTTTTGTGTAAAATATACATACTTCGGTTTTAAAAAAAGTCATCGCTTTCTTCTTTTGCAGAAGATTACTAAGTCCTCTCTATCATCCACATTTGTAATTAATAGTTTTAAGAGTTGAATCCCTGCCTTTATCTTTGTGTGTGTGTATCACTTCCAAATCTCCCACCCACTTCCTTACTATCTGTGGGTGCCTATAATGACTTTTCCATCATCTGGAAACTTCCAAATGACTGTGTCCATTTTTTTCCGCATTCAGGATCTGTGATACAGAGGCAGCATGGGAAAAAATAGATCTTTGGACGCCTACCAAGGTCTATAGTCTTTAAGGCTTCCCACTCTTGTTTAAAACAAATAAACTTCTCTTGTAAGTAAACCCTTTATCTTACTTTGCTTTGCTTTCTCTCTCTCTCTGTCTCTGTTTTCAACAACAACAAAAACAACAACAACAACAACTTTGCCTGCTGCCTCTGTTTTCATGTGAGTCTGTGTGGATGCCTCTTGCAAAAAATTTTAAACTAACAGATATATTTCAGAGATAAACATTCTACCTGATTTCTAAGATTTATTACTTGCTAACAAACTATACCTTTCTTAGATTAATATATGTATAAAAATATTTATATTTATATTAATTTACATATAAAATTAAGTAGACTTCTAAGTAAATTAGATTCTAGTCATAATCAAAATTCTACCTGATTCTCTAAACCTTAAAGGACAAATTAATAATTATCAGTAGATTTATATCAGTTTCTTGATTTTTTAAATTTTATATGCAATGGCAATTGGTGACATTCTCTGTCTGTTAATTTGTCCTCGTTTATTATTTTGATTTGAATACTAAATGTTCTGATATCAAAAAATTTGGGCATCTTTTATGAGTAGATGAATTATCTAAACTTCATTCTTTATTCATCTGGTAAGGGAAAAAGTTGCTATCAGAAATAACACTGAAAATGTTTGATATAATCCTTGTTGATGATAGTTTTTGTATTAACAATTTGATTATTTTGAAACTGGCTTATACATGTTGTCTTAATTCACTTGAGAAGTGGGTCTTCATTTGCATTGACAAGATCATGAAATTTGTTGTGGAGTTTTCTAAATTTGGTTAGGATCATTTTTTGGATGTAGTTTTTTTATTTCATTCTTGGATTTTTTGTTATACTTTGTTGTAATTGGATGAATGTTGTCTTTTTAAAAAGAATTATCTATTTTGGTTTTGAAGATATTTACTTTTTATTCATGAATTTCATGTTATTTTTGTTACTTTTGTCTAAAGTTATTTATTTTCTAATTAATAAAAACTTTAAGTATAATGTTTGTTGAATAAAATTGAATTCTGTTGAACATCATATAGAATTTAAAAAAAAAATTTTAAAGTAATTTGATAAGATTTCAATAGTATATTTGGTTAATCTGTTTGATTTGTACATTCTGTAATCTTCATCAATTTGTGTTGAATATTTTGATTTAATTCTGGTGAAAGCAAAATTTTGATTTCCATGTTTTTAACTTTCAAACTTAGAAGATTGTAATGATTCATATTTCTTTGGGTAGCATAGAATCTGTTTTAAAAAAAGTGTATATTAATAGCCTAAGTTTTTTACTAGCAGAAAATTTATTTACATGCTGATTATAAATTTTTAATTCTTTAATTTTAGAGATTTAAATGAAACCATTTTGTATTAGTCAGTTTATAGACAAGGCTAATCAATTCTTTTGGATTTTGCTTCATGCAAAGGATTAAGCACTAATTCTGGCCTTAGCAGCAACATTTCTTTTCTATCAATATATTTTCTTAGTTTAACAATTTTGATGTTAAAACTAATCTGAATGCTTTTTCTATGGAACAATGAATTGTACATTTTTGTTTCATTTCAATATATTAATTTAATTTTATTTTTATTTATTTTCTTTTAACCATTTTACCCCGAAGCAAGGTGATAAAGCCACTAAAATGGAAAGGGTTATCGAGAGTGAAAGTAACTGAGAAAATATTATTGAAGAGAAAAGGCAATAAAAGAACAGAATGTAACAATTGATTTAATATTTAATGTAATAATAATAGTAAGTTCTTTCTGTTTGTAAAAAGTATATTTTATTAAAAAGGCAAGAAACTTCTGAAGTTAGTATATCCAATACTGAGTTAGAAATTTTTACATCAAGACTTTTGTTTGAGTTTAATTTTAACAAAATCTTTCTGCTTTTTTTTTTTTTTTTTTTTTTTTTTTTTTTGATGTAAAAATTAAAATATGTTTCATTGAAATGTCAATAAGTAATTTAATGGCTTATTTGTTTATTTTTACAGCTGGACGATTGTAGGTGAGGAATGAGTGGGCCCAAGAGACAACCATTGTTTCCAAAGTCAGCCATATTTCTATTGTAGGCACATTTTAAGACGTGCAAAATCAGTCTGGAGTTTAACTATCACCTTTCTAGTTGGCACGTTACTATGACAACCTTACAGAAGCTGCAGTGAAAAAAAGAAAACAGACAGATTGGACTGTATAGGATTTAGCTGTTTGCCGATTGACTTTTGTTTTTATTTTAAAAGAAACATCAATGCGAATGTTTGGGATGGGATTTTTAGAAATCTGACAAGAACTTTAAAAGTAGTTCTGTTGGTTGACAAGGACTCAGCTTCTTATGAGACAGGAATTATATCCCTTGGAGAAATGAATTACTTCCCTCTCCCATACACACACTCAACCTCCTGGTTGGTTGTTTTTCTCAGTTGAGATTCTCTATAAATGTTACCAAGTTGAGGCAGGGAATTGCTTTATTTGAAAAAGAATCCGTCTGCACTTGAAGAGAGTTGTCTCCCCTGAATGAAAGGCTAATTTCTCTGTTTACCCCCACAAACAAAAAGAAAGTAGAATCTCTTCTTGAGGACTGGTTTTCATGACAACGAGGCAAACTAGCCAATGAGAATGGATGCTACAATGTAAAGTGTTTCTGATGATTGATTTAACAGTGTCTGTCTACTACAGCTTGTGCCATGTTGGTGCCTGCATCTAAAACCCTTGCGAATACAAAAGCCAAGATGTTTATGATGGAATTGGTCACTCTGGAATATTCTGATGACATTTTACAAACATATCACAGGCTTCCCAGTTTGAGAATTTGGCTATTTATAGAATTTCCTTTTCTCATCAAATGCACACACACTTGGGAAAGGATCAAAACTGAAGTGTTGTATTAGAAAATAAATGAAAAGTAAAGAACAAATAAGAAGAAAAATGCAGTATTTGGACTGTCTTCAAACAGGAAAAATGTTTGCTGTTTGAATGAAACTGCAACAGAAAAGGAAAAGAAATGAAAAACTCCTTTTGTAAATTTATTTCCTGTGTGGCTTTCTTTCTCAATAATCAGTATTAGTAACGAGAAAAGATTTTGTAAGAGAAAAAGGCAAGGATCGGCAAAGACATTTCTTTTATTTTTTATTTGAATAAACCAGAAAATGAATTCTGTAGAATGATAAAAGAAAAAAGAATTATAAATAAAACTCTTGTAAATTTGGATTTTACATGAAATTATTTTCTTCTTTTTTTTTCTTTTTTCTTTTTTTTATTCTTTTTTTTATTCTTTTTTTTTTCTTTTCTTTTTTTTATTCTCTTTTTTCTTTTCTTTTTTTATTCTCTTTTTTCTTTTCTTTTTTCTTTTCTTTCTTTTTTTCTTTTCTTTCTTCTTGTCTTTTCTTTTTTTCTTTTTTCTTTTTTTTTTTTTCTTTTCTTTTTTTTTTTTTTTCTTTTTTCTTTTTTTCTTTTTTTTTTTTTTTTTTTTTTTTTTTTTTTTTTTTTTTCTTTTTTTTTTTTTTTTTTTTTTTTTTTTTTTTTTTTTTTTTTTTTTTTCTTTTTTTTTTTTTCTTTTTTTTTTTTTTTTTTTTTTTTTTTCTTTTTTTTTTTTTTTTTTTTTTTTTTTCTTTTTTTCTTTTCTTTTTTTTTTTTTTTTTTTTTCTTTTTTTTTCTTTTCTCTTTTTCTTTTCTTTTCTCTTTTTTTTTCTTTTCTTTTCTCTTTTCTTTTCTTTCTTTTCTTTTCTTTTTTTTTTGTTTCTTTGGGGTTCATCAGAGCAAAAGAAAAACTGATATATTGTTACCATATTAGAAACAGCCTTAATACATACTTTGACTTTCTATGCAAAATGATCTGTAAAAAGTTTAAAATGATTTAATTATGCCTACCTTTTTCTGGTATTTCTAATGAGTGACAAAATATTTTCCATGCAATTAGAAAACTAACTTTTTCTCCCTTAAATGCTTTTTTTTATTTTATTTTTAACAATATTCCAGAAATGTAACAATCTCATTGAAAAGAGTATAAAAAAAATCATTTTTCAATATGGTAACAAAAATGAACAAAATATTCTTAATTAGGATTAATCAGATGATTGATTTGTTTTCTATGGCTTATCAACACTTTTCAAGTTATTTTACACCAGAAAATATAGTTTTAGATTCTAAGTCTTTTTTGGAGATAATAATTGTTTAGTAATACAATTCTTACTAATTAACTCATAGCTGAGAAGTGGGTTAATACTTTTCCCAAGGGTATTTGTGTGTAACTGAATATAACGAACCCAATGGGAATTGACACTTATCTCTACGATTTAACAATTCTGAGCCATTATTCATTACACCACCTGCACATTCAAGCTTACATCACCTGGTAATCTCAAGTGGTCACTCATCTAGATACTGACCAAGCTTGAGTTGCTTGACTTTAGTGATCGTACAGAAAGTAGTGTTTCAATGCGATGAGGCCATAAGCCTTAATCAGATGATTATTTTTTTTCTGTTACAGTTTTTTAAGTAAATGTTTTTAATTGAACATTGAATCCAAAATAGGGAGGAGTGAATACATTAAACAAGAATGAATTACAAGAGAGTTAATAATTATATTTTTGGTAGAATAGTTTGCTAGAAGATCAGTACAGAATTTGCAAATAAGTTGTTTTTTTTTGTTTGTTTTTTTTATACTGTAGCCCCATTGCTTTGTGATGTACTTGTTACAGCATTCTAGAAGTTTTGATACGACTACAGCTGCATATGTGCTGTCTTTCAAATCTTGGTCCAAGGCAAGTTGATAACTTTTTGTGACAACCAGATTGATGGTAATCATTGGGAGAGAGGTCAGAAGTCTTAGGATGATGCTTCAGTACCTTAAATGCCAATCCCTGTAGCATTTGCACCATGTTGACATATATTGTCATGTTTTTTAAAATAAAAAAAAAAGCAGACCTCAGTGTTTGAATTGTGTGCTACATGTTCTACAGTATCACTTCTTTTCTA